TTTGTTGTAAAGTATGTGTTTGTACAGAGTATCAGTATTCTGCGTTCTGTACTTGTTTTTTTTTTTGTATTCTGTATCATGTATTCTGTTAAGTTATACACTGCAGCTTATGTTATGTTTCAATTTTCCCGTTCGACACATTCACTTTTGCGTTATATCACCTATGTATAAATACATGTTATATATTACACGGTTTATGTGATGTGTTTTAATATTTTATCATATAATGTATGCTTGCTGTTCTGGCATTACATTTTTTATACTCTGTGTTACTAGTTGTACTTTGCTACATTGGATTATCTAGTATTTTCAGTATATGATAATGTATCATATTATTCTGTATTTCATGAGATTCACGTATGTTTACAGTAAACTATATGATCTTTTTTGGTATTAGGCTGGCTAATATGATGTCATATTTCAATACATTGTGCTTTTTGGTACTGCTTTGCTGTGTTGCCTTGTGCTACATTTTATGACAATTTAGTACATTAGGTTTTGTCATGTTATTTTTTTCATTTCTGTGTGCACTTTTATGTTAACTGTTACGCTACATGACATCAGATTTGTGTCAAACTACTGCAGTATGTATCCAAACATTTCCGTTCTTGTGCTACATTGTTTTTTCATGATGTTGTATATCTTATATAAGAATCTATTGTAATCTATTACACTCCATTTTTTATGGGGCTTCAAGCCGGCTCCGAGGACGTGATGCGTCCACCCGAGTGACCATCGGGCTATGCTTGCGTCAAAGCCCAAGGTGACAGGACGTCCGGTGCAAACTTCTTCGGCATTAGGGTCGCGGTTTTAGTTTCAGATCTCAAGGATCCAACTCCTTGCGGCTTCACGACTCGCTCCGATTCTCTTGGGTAGTCTAAAACGCACCATCGATTTTGAAGCCTGAGGTTGCCTTGCAAGCAGCGAGGCTTTGATCTTCAATATTCTTCGATTGGCTATTGGCTGAGGAGGGTAGGAAGAGCAGCAGGCCAGGACAACAGTGTTCATGGCAAATGTTTCAATGGCCTCTGCTGCCCAGCAAGCCTGCTGGGCTGCAGAGCCTATGGTGGATACCACACACATCTCGCCAGAGTATGGTAAATTCTTGTGATTGGGAGAACGTGGATGAGTAATGATCCGAGTAGCAGTGGTGATGGTTGTGGTGGTGGTGGTGGTCGTCGGCATCGTCGTAGCAGTGGTAGTAGTGTTATTATTCTTATTCGTCGTAGTAGTAGTAGTAGTAGTAGTAGTAGTCGTCGTAGTAGCGTTAGTGCCAGTAGAAGAGTACTGGCAATGGTAGTAGCAGTACTACTACTAGTAGTACTAGTAGTAGTAGTAGTAGTAGTCGTCGTCGTCGTCGTCGTCGTAGTAGCAGTTGTTGTGGTGGTGGATAGCAGTAGCAGTAGTAGTCGTCGTCGTAGTCGTCGTGGTGGTGGTAGTAGTTCTAGTTCTAGCTCTGGTTCTGGTTCTAGTTCCAGTTCTCGTTGTGGTAGTGGTAGTGGTAGTGGTAGTGGTAGCAGTGGTACTAGTAGCAGCAGCGGTGGCAGTACTAGTAGGATTAGCCTCATTTTTTGTAGGTTGGCAGCTGTTGTGGTGGGAGCAGGGTCGGGGTATTGGTAGTGGCAGCAGTGGGGCAGTGGGGCAGTGGGGCAGTGGGGCAGTGAGGCAGCAGGGGCAGGGTCAGGGACAGGGCCGAGCGCGGTAGCAGCCGTATTCGTACAAGGATTGAGCCGGTCGTGAGATCTGAGCATTCCTTCGATCCTAGTAGCACCGTATGAGAATGAAATGAGCGAGGAATGACTATCTGCAGTATCGGTTGCACCAAAGCCGGGTTAAACCACGCAACCAGGAGCTAGTGTTTTGGCATGTGGTCTTCAGCATGAGTAATTTGAAGACTTGGTGAAGAGCGCCAACAATTATCTCTTTGGAGCTTTTGCTCACAGTTCCGAAAGTGCAGGTATCGATACTGCGCTTGCGCAAAAGAGAAAGCATGCAATCGCTGAGATTGTCGGATATTTTTAAAAGCTTTGAGCCCATGGATGATGGGTTCGCTTGGTTCTACTGCCAACCGGTGCTAATCATTGGCAAGAAGATTCCGGCATATGTGCTGTGAAAAATGTGCATGAAACGTAGGCACGGGCTTTGAGGCTTCTCAGAGGCCTCTGCAGGCAGCATAAGTGCATCGGCCAGATGGAGATGTGGTCGTGATAGTAACAGGACCATGTGACCAAATTCGGTTTTCTTGTGCAATTACCAGCATTCAGCCGTGTATTGCGTTACCGCCTACCGCTGTGCTCCGCACCACCGTGCCAGTGTTGCCTGTATTGCGAAGCTTCGATGTTGTTGCTGTAGTTACACTGTAGTCGAGCCAGTTACACTGTAGTCGAGCCAGCCTCAACACGAGACATGTTATTCCTACCATTATTGATCAGCACGACTATTACTATCGCTGTTATTAGTGTTGCCGTCAGTACTATCATTGTCATAGTCATCATTATTTTTACTATTCCTAGTATTATCGGTATTATTCGTATTCCTGTTCTTAGTAACTTAGCAGTATTATTGATAGTATTAAGATGACCATTACAACCATTATTGTTGCTAGCTTTACTATTATGACTTTTCTGACTAGTAATGCTGTCTTTACTATTGCTACTATTACTAGTTTTCATTAGTGCTATTCGCACCATAATTCTTACTACTACTGGTACTGCGATTACAGATTCTGATTTTTATTGCTGCTACTGTTGTTGTTGTTGTTGTTGTTGTTGTTGTTGTTCTTCATATCATTCTTACTACACTCATATCAGTGTTTTGGCTACTATTTCTATTCTTATTGTCATTCGCATTATTGTCGTTATTATTGTTTTGACTATTAACCTCACGGTTCTCAAAGCTATTTGCATTGTTATTGGTAGTAGAATCATTATTGGTATTGTTGTGTTTGTTATTGTTGTTGTTATTATTCGTATTCTGTTATCACTGAAGCATTTATATGACTATTGTTATCAATATCACTCTTATTTTCATGGTTATTCGTATTGTTACCATTATTGTCTACTATTCTCATCCTCATTATCATTCCTCTTCTTCTTCTACTGCTTCATCTTCTTATGGTTCTTGTTACTGCTTTTGGTACTGTTACTAGCGTATTTTATTATTATTTTTTCGACGTGATGCGGCAGGCAGCCCGTCCTGGTTGCCCTGGGTAGCAGTCGCATGGAAGTTGAAGAGGAAACCTCTGCGTTCTTTCCACATGTTCTGCTGTGAGGTGCGAGTGTTGGACTGTGTTGGGCTCTAGTGCCTTGCGGAGATCGAAGCTTCTGTCTGCGGAGCTGCGCGAATAGCGCGCCCATCGCAATGACGTGGTTTGAAACTTTGCGAAGACAGCCATGGAAAATCTGTGTCAGAGCGTCTTGCTCATCTTTCCCAAGTTACAAGCGGCGAAGCTTGTGTATGCAAGCCCAGACCTCGTGGGCTCTTGTTTCTGCCCCCGGCCAGCACACCAGGAGTCGTTCACTCCCCGAAGAATGCGTGAGGTACTTTGGAATCGGCATGCGTTTGCCGTTTTCGGCGACAGGGCATGAGACAAGCCAGATGGTTTTTTTCAAATTAATTTGAGAGAGGAGGCTGCGGTTCGGCCCCTGCCTTCTGTCTCCCTCTGAGTTACATGGAGAAAGGCTTTAAGGATCCGTTTAAAAAGTTTCAGCTGAGAGGGGCGACAGAGCAACATCCTGGGAGATGAGATTCGTGGCATCGAGCTGGCTTTCGACCTGCTTGAGAGGCGAAGCTCTCCCCAGGCTGCACCCTGTTAATCTTCTGGGAAAAAGATTCGATTCGAGCCTTCCGGATCAACTTCAAACCACTCACCAGATTATGGGGGGGGGTGTTCGCGTTCAGTTCTTGCCTTTTGGCTTGCTCAAGCTTCCAGTGTCGGCTGGGTTGTTGGATGTTGTTGGGTTTTTGTGGCTGCGCTTGACTGCTTCAGATGGGAGGCCAGAGTGTGAAGATAGACGGAGAGAGAAAGCCTCTTGTCTGTCAAAGGTTCGACTGAATGGCCGAGTTGTGATGGTTTCGGAGGGGTCAGACCTTCGTGAACACACGATGCGACCTTGTGTATTGTGCCAAAGGGCGATGTCCATGTCCAAAGCTCTGTCAGACGATTGACATTAGAGTTTGTTCTCTGTGTTCGCAGCCATTAAGTCTCTCACAGACCCGAAGGGGGGTGTTTAGCTTCTTTGTCGAAGGTGCCCGTTTAAAATCGGGACGTCCGGGAGCCAGTGGCCATCCAGAAGCCTCGCAAGCATGAGAAGGTCTCAGTACGTAAAACTACAAAAAAGCTACTCGTGGAAGCATGCGTTGAACACCTTGGTACATTTTTTCTACGATGGTACATGGAAATACGTACGCGTGGTTTCAGAAATTGAACGCGCTGTAGTTGCACAACCTAGGCTGAAGTAGAAACTCTTGGAGAGAACATTGCAAGTCTGCTCTGTGGTTGCACCAGGCAAGAGAACTAGCTCGCCTATCTATGTTTGTGTGTGTACATTCCTGTATACATATGTACTATGCTAAGATCCAGTACGGCAAGTAAGCTCAAAGTGCTCTTCACACATGTGCTGGTATGCAACACTGTGTAACGTGTAGCGCGAAGCGTCCTGAATTCCGAAACAGTGTGGTTAACACTCATGGCAGTTGAAGAGGATTTGGTTGGTGTATGTCCCGTGTCGGCCCTGTCGTGTTCTTAGGTGTAAATCGTGGCATCTTCTATTGTGGAAGACTCCTGGACCGGTCCACGGGCTTCTGGCTCTGCTGCTGTCTGGTGAGCGCAGAGCGTGCCGTAGTGTGCGATGGAAGATGCTTCGAAGCTGCTTTCCAAGATCGAGTCCTGGCTGGAATTGCTAGGTCCGCCGACAACCTGTTGCAGAAACGGGGCTACTCGCTTTCGACTGAAAGTACGTCTTCCACGTGTCCATGGCTTCACAGTCTGGAGAATGGATATGCTACGGTGCAGCTACAATAGTGAGAACGGAGCACGCCTGCCCTGCCTGCTTACCGAAACAGGATACCAGGTCTCCTTCGGATATTTGGGAAATGAGTTTCAGGAGGATGTTTGCAGAACAGAACCCTTTGGACCATCTCAGGAGCTTGACGATTACACCATTACGGAAGTCCGAAACGGATGGGAAACGGTCGTGGCTTGGCTTCTTTGCGGCGTTCCTTGGTTGTGTGCAAAGGCATGCCCCTGAAGGCCTGGAGCGCAGTAGGATATATATATATATATATATCCGTATATATATATATATATACGGACATATATATATATATATACATATTTGTATTTACATTCATATTCTTATTTAATTTTTTTTGCATATTAGAGTCAAATAAGCGAGGTTCAGAGGTGCTCATGCATTTTGCTCCAGGTGGAGCTGCCATGTGTGTTTCGACAGGGAACCTCGGGAATAAAGCCATGCCGTCGACGCCGAAAGTCAGACTCGAAGCCTGGACAATTCCTAACAAGCTAGTGCTCTGGAGCTAATGTCGTGCTGAAACCCTAAACCCCAAACCCTAAATCCGAAACCCCAAGCCCCAAACCCTCAACCCCAAACCTCAAACCCCAAATTCAAACCCCAAACCCCACAAACCTCAAACCCCAAACCCTAAGCCCCAAACCTCAAACCCCACAAACCTCTGTTAGCAAGTCGCTTCGCTGTCGCTCCCAGGAGAAGCGGCTGGGCGGACCTCGGGAAGCTGGCGACTTCGCCGCTTTGCAACCCATTGCTAAAAGATAGTTTCAACAGTTAGGATAGTAGCAGCAGCAGCAGCAGCAG